CATTTGCTCTTTTTTTTTTTACTTCCAAACTAACTTATTTTCTTCTATTTCTCTTTTTCAACATTGCGATTATTAGATTTATAATTAACTCAAAAATTTATAATAAATTCTTRAAATTATTTTTTTCTTTTTGTTTCGAATATTATCCGATATCCGAAGAATATCCAAASGTGACCCRAASATATAGAAYCCTAGACCTCTTWYCATTAGKCATTAACYCTAATAATAYWCACGCSTACACACKYCGATGCTATTATTACCCTGTCGTTCAATGACTTTACATGGATTTCCTTGTTTCATAGCTTCATATCCTCCTTGTTTCGTAGATTTATGTCACCTTACTATATTTTCTCTTTTTCAAACATCTTTGCATCTTTGAATTTCGTTCAATGACTTTACATGCATATTTTCTCTTTTTCTGAATTTGATTCAAAATTATTGCATTACTAATGATGAGGACCTCAAATCCATGATGAATCAACCACATTCCAAGGCATCTTTGCAAGTCTTTACCAGCCTCTCAAAAGTCCATACTAGTGATGATCCAAAGAAGACGAGACTAGAAAAGCCCAAGATCATGCAATCGTTCCAATGGCCCGATAAGGACATATTGGCCTCTCTTGAAGGATTATGGCCTAACCATGATGATTTAATCTCAACAATGATTTGCTCCATATTATTGACCCATCAAAGACCCACGGTGAACAAGAAATCAACCAAGAATGGTATAGACATGACCAGAACTAAGATTACAAACCGAATGATCCAAAATAGTCCGATTTTGGAACTTTCCTTATTTGGATCATTGCAGACTTATCTTTGGCATCTTGGAGACTTTTCATATGATATAAAGGCTCCTAGTAATGTCTTAAGATGCACCATAAAGCATGGGATCAAGTGGATCTCTTCACACCTCAACTTTCCTTATTTGGAGTCAATTACGTCAAATCTGGTCCGACGGGTAAATCCTTTTGATTTATTTCGTTTTGAAAGCTTGGAGATGTTACACACTATCAAGAGACCCCCAAGACGTTATTAATTCATGCTCAAGTTGTCTAGATACCAAGAACCTCACATTTCTCTCATTTGGCCAAAAATCAAGTAATAAAAGTCAAATCAATCAAACCTGTTGATTGATTGATATTTATTATGAT